CCATTTACCGAAACGGCGACCGAGGCTGAAGAGGTTGCAGGCATTACACAGCAGGATTAGTCAGCAATCTAGTTTGTTCTAAGGTAGCTGTTTTGTCACAGTGATACTTAAACGCGCGCAAATTAATAGTTTTCGGCTTGGTTTTTCCATTTAGTAATCACTGTGCAACGCAGGGGCTGAATATATGAGGGGCCCCAATCCTCACAATTACCGGTTTGTATTGCATTTTTATTGTAGGGAATCATTAAGGGGAATTTAACGACCAATAGAAAAACATTCATTGAATGTGTCGCTTGATATTTCAAATTTATTGTCAAACTGATCATCAATGTTCTGGTATTCAAATTGTTATTTTTATTTTTTAGCACGCTATATTGGGATTGCGTTAAAACCAACTCTGGTTAGTTGATGGTTTCCTCAAAAAGTTTTTTATTTTTGGATAGAACCTGTATTGTGTGAGATTTAGGCCACCTTGTATAGTGATAACTTGTTATAGGTTAGTGTGTATATTTTGTTCACTGTAATAATTTTTAGAAAATTTCCCAGAAAATGTAAACAATTTTGACTGGCATGACAAAAAATGTCAGCCCCATTCGCTACTAACTGGCGGGTATACAGGGTGTTTCAAAGCAAAAGTGGAAGTATTTCATGCGGAAAATAAAGGGAAGTCTGGTACAAAACGCCAGGCTGACATCAACCGATAAATTGCTTTTATTATTAAATAATAATTTAAAAATACGGCTAAACTTCGCGGGTATTTTGTGTCTTGTAACCGCCAGTACAAGAAAATTTCATATTTTTGCAAAGTCAACACATATTTATCTCTGTCATGCATGCTCGACTAAAGCAAGACAGACCCAGTCCTGGTCCAGTGAAAGAATGCAACACTCGCTCAAAACAGAAGAACCGGTCTGCATGCAGTGGTTAACCTCTAAAATCGGACAAATGTGGTTATGAAGCTTTGCTTAATTCAAATACATGCATTAAAGCAAGCGAAATTTGCTGTTTTTGTGCTTCAACATGCCGATTGACCATAAGCGAATCAATGGGCCAGATGAAAGCGTCCC